TCTCAACTTGTAATGGTTCTTTATGATTAAATAAATAAATGACACCAACCTGATTGCGGGATTAAAAAAAAAAAAATAAATCTTTTGGACTTTTTATATCGGACTATATACTAAAAAATCACAGTACATCTGCAAAGTGTTGTTAAATGGAGGTATTAAATTAAGTTTTAAAAACATAGTTACCATAAATGCTATTGTGTAGCGTCTGTATAAAGTTACAGAGATAACTAATTCTGGTTTATGAGTATGCAATTAAGTGTGTCACAACTTGGGTCCAAAGAAAAACTCGTTTTTCTTATGTGCCTTCCCATAAATGCTATTGCGTAGAGTTCGTATAAAGTTAAAGATAAAAAATTCTGGCGTATGAGCATGCAATTAAGCTTGTGTCCAAAGAAGAAACTTGTTTGTTTTATTGCGCCTTCCCATAAATGCTCTTGAGCAATACAAATTATTACACAAGTGTGCGCGCAAATTGAATTGACCAAAGTAAATATCAGAAATTCCTTTATAGATACGGTAAAGCATTTCGATAAACATACACCAATTTAGTAGTATTCTACGAAAAATGAGTGAACTAGACTCTAAGGAATACGTGATTTCGATTAATGATGAAGGCTCTGCACGAGACCGAATTTCGATTAATGGTGAAGACTCTGCACGAGACCGAATTTCAATTGATGATGAAGGCTCTTCACGAGACCGAATTTCGATTGATAATGAAGGCTCTGCACAAGAACGAATTTCGAATAATTACGTGCATTCAAAAAAAATAATAACAAGTCTTGTATACTCACCAAATATGAAAGATATGATGATGCTTATAAAAATATATATATTCATAAAGATACTAATTCCGAGGATTATGATCAATCTATTTGCGTGTGGAAAGCCGTGGAATATGAAAAGGGAGTGCCCAAATTAACCATCTATGATTCATTTGACCTTACATATTTAACTTCATACTGGAGGCTAGAAAGAGTTTCAAATTGCAAACATATTCTCTTAATTATTGATAGAGATACTCCTTACGACCTCGGTAAGTAAGTTTGGCGTTGAATCTAAGTTGTAATTACGTCTTTTAATAACGCATATAATTTCATTTAATACAAATAATTAATACCACAACCGGGTTAAAGGAAATATTAAATGTTCAAGGTTTAAAAGGAAGAACTTGTGAAGCTACATTTCTTGAAGATGGAAAATTAGTAGTCGTTAAAGGGGATCCTGTTTATCGAGTCTACATATTTTCCAATAAAAAAAATCAGTGGCACTATACGAATAGCATTAAACTTTTAAAATTTGATCGTTGCTTTATCTCACAGGAAAAATTGCTGGTTCTCTTATATAAGCCTTTAGTAATAATACAATAGAATTTAGAAAAACTGAAGTTTGAGGCAAATATGAATTGGATTGGAGTTTTTCTTGGTATTTTTCTTTGAGGTCCCAGCCCAGATATATTCGTGATTATTGGACGACGACTTATGGTATTCGCATTTCACTAAATAGTGACAAAAACACTATTAGCAGTATCTGGAATAGTATCGCCATATCCATCAGATGGGAATGAGATGATTCAAGATATGTTATTTGATGTAGACTATTGTATCTATGTTTATTCAACAAAATCTTGTGCAATGATAGCAAAACGTAAGTATTAATTATGTATGAGTAAACCATATAATCTCAATTATTGATCTGGAACCGACGTCAACCATACTATTACTATTGATTTTATTAGATCAAAGGAAGAGGAACGTTTGCTTATCCATAATCCAAACAAATTTAAATGTGTCATTGGATCAGGATCTGACGCAAGGAAGTAATTTTTTTCTTCCCGGTTATATTAACGAAAGTGGTTACATTATAAAATTTGATAAAGGTCGTTTGCAAAACATTGAAAGTTTATCTGAAGGACAAAATTGGATCAAATACTTAGATGAACCTGAAGATGAAAGTGAACCTTCACCTTCACCTGAAGAATATAATAGAATTGATTTACTTTCTTATAGAAATGAAATATTAGAAACGATAGAAAACACTTAAGAACAATATAGATCAAATAAATATATTGCTCAAGATTTCGCAGAGAATACTGATCAGCTATATTTTGCAGAGAATACTGATCAGCTATAGTTTGCAGAGAATACTGATAAGCTATCTATTGCAGAGAATACTGATCAACTATATCCATAGAGTGTTGAGCCTTCTGAGAGAAATTTTTATTATCGGTTATCCATAATAAGAAGACTGGGACTGAGATTAAGACTGAGACGATAAGTCAGATCGAAATAGTTGTACCTTTATTAAAGAAAAAAGATTCCATTTGTACAGAATTTAAACGGCTTAAAAACGGAGATTTGATGTTTATTTCCTCTTTTGGCATACAAATCTGCAAATTTGGACAAATACTAGCTTAGAGATTGATTTACTTTACTATTGGGCCGACACGGATGCGTATAATAAACAGCATCGAAAACGGGACGAGAAACTCTGATCGAACAACTTGAAATTCTCAAGAGTAAATTAAAAAAAATCGAAGATTCTAGGAGCATAATACCTTCGCCGTACTTTGACCAAATTCATAATTATTCACCGGATTATATTTACAAAAAACGTCTTACTTCCAAAATCAAAAGGTTCGATAAGCTTGATTCGATAATAACAAGGCATTCTTGGATATTAACGAAGCTTGAGGATACGTCATTTATTGAATTACATGGAAGAGAGTTTATCCAATTTACTGATTATATACAGTATTGGAATATTATTAAAAACCCAATTCCTGATAATAATTTTTTATTGATCATAGAATTATACGGAAGAGACGTGTTCCTTGAATTAATTAAAAGAAATCAAATCAACCAAATTAAGGTTTTATTTAATCAGATTCTTGATAAGAGTTTAGAGGAGTTTCAGAAAGGCGATATTTCCAAGTTTATAAAATTAATGGATGGAATTACCTTTACACTTCTAGAATTAGAATCATACGACCAAAATTATAGATTTACAGAACGTTTTTTATCTAAAACTGCGTTATTGGTTCCCGATGCTTTTATAGGTGCCCATTTACATCGTCACATCATGTTAATCGAACATATGTTTATATACCGTATTTATCTTGCACTTCACGTTTCAATCGTTGGGTTTCCAATAAATGGGAATTTCTGAAAGAAAATTACCTTCCAATTTATAAAACATTAAGTTTTCTCTATTCTGTTTATTCGTCTTATTTTACGTCAAACCCTAAGAAAAAAACCGTTTGGTTAATAATACCTTTATCGAGTTTTGCCACATACCCTGAGAAAAACCATTCTATTTATAAAGAGTTGATTAATCCAACCGGAAACCCTTTCACCGAATTAAGTTCTCCAGAGTATTATAAATGGCAGAACATTAAATCTCTCGTCGATTTTAAGTGGAACACGTTTGGGAAATATTATTATTATTTAATATGGGCAATATATTCGATATTTTTACTATGTTTCTCTATAGTTGCAACGATTCCGTCAAATAAGATTTCATGAAAAATCAGGATGCTCTTTTGGTGACAACAATTATTCTTGGACTTTTTCAGTTTTCTTTTGAAATTCGAGAATTTGTCCATAATCCAACAAATTATATTACAAATTTTTACACGTATAATCCAAATATTATTTATAAATTCTGATTTTAATTTAATTTGTAGATACTGTCGTATTGTTATTGCCGACAATAACTTCATTTATATGGTTGATTGATGAAAGTCCATCATTATGGATTATCGTTATATCAACACTCATGCTTGAGCTTAAAATTTTACTTTATTTCCGTGCGCTGAATTACTTCGGAAAATATTTTGTAATTATGATTGGAATTAAGCGAAAAACCTTTTTTTTTTTTCTTGTTTTGGGTATTATCGTCTTTGCATTTTCCCATTCTTTCCATCTCTTGTTAAGACCTACCACCGAATATTCTTATGATCAACCAAGTTATAACGATGACGCAAACAATCCTTGGAATCTTGTTACAAGATATCGTTCTATTTCTTCTGATAACATCGGTCAACAATCTCTTATTACAAATCCTGATGAAAATACAAACTTATTTGTATCATTTAATATCGCTATATTGGCTGTGTATTTTATGTTAACAGGTATGATATGATTGTATAAGCTATTATATTATATTATAATTAATTGGTCGCATTACAGGAGACAGAAGTTCAGTCTCTTCATGGACCTTAAACCAAAATCCGACATTGGGGATTCTATTGGTCTTATTTTCGTTTTACACATTTTATTTGTTAAATTTATTCATTGGATCACTTAATGTGGCGGCCGATATAAGAAATAATGAAAAATTCTTGCAATCAAGGGGTGAGGTATGTATCCCCATCAAAGAAAAAATATAAATTGGTTTCCAGAGACTTTGTAATTATTTCCTATATACTGTATTTCGTATTTCTTATGCGTTTCTACTTCGAATATTAACCCTACCAGTTTCTAATGCGAATAAAATTTTTTTTTAGATATTACCAAGTATCCATCGATGAACTTACAAAATATGTTAAGAAAGTGGAAAATGAGACATATGAAGGAGTATCGAGGCCACATTTGTCCAATGCTATTAAAAAAATTGCTCGGTACGAAAAAGATGTTGATAAAAAGATTAGCGAGTTAGATGAAAAATTTAATGAGAATATTAGAGAGTTAGATAAAAAATTTGATGAAAATATTAGAGAGTTAGATGAAAAGATTAATAAGTTAGATAAAAAATTTGATGAATTTATCGAATTTATCAAATCGGGAGGAAAATAAGTAGATATTTTTCGGTTAGAAATAATTTTTCTTAAAAATTCATTTACAAATTTATTGTTTAAAAAAAATTGTATGAGTATTGATTTTTTAGGTTTGAGATAGGTTTTTACTGTATATAAATTTCACGCGTTTTATTAAACCAAAATTTGTACCTCTTCAATTACTTATGTTAAAACTCACTGAAATATGCATCCATGTTATTATTATGGTAAACAAAAAACAAAAAATTATCTGTCTTCTTTTGACCTAAATATACTTTATCTGATCGCTTTCACTATTTCTTGCTCAAAATCGTTAATGTCTACTACATCCTTTCCAAACGTTATTCTTTTTAATTAAATTAAAGATTAATATAGTTTGTTGTTTTTTTAAAACACTTGGATTCAGGTCATTGATAAGTTCATACAATTTCGAAAAGGTGGTGCCTTAAGTTGTTTTCGGAAATCAATAACCTCAACATCTCTTGAAATAAAGTATTACCTCTAAACGAAATTATTTTTATCATTCATAATATTGATTATTATTTCACTATTCTTTAATATCGCATTTACACATAAGAAATTCGAAATTTTGTTTAAGCCAATAATAACATTAAAATTCTAATATCTTATTTTTAAGTTAATAAAAACTATATAGTATATTACAATTAAAATATCATAATAAATTTTTTGGTAAAGTATTAATCAATACCAAACAAATTATCAATAGAAATTACATCAAGCTATGAGTATAAAGATATATTATAAAGAAATTGTTTGGTTGTTATTAACTACTTTTTTAAAACGAAAAACTTGATACGTAATTATATTAAGTTTTTAATAAAAATCATTTTTACAAATTTTGAATAAGAAGCATTTCAATTTTGAATTAAAAAAGCAATTTTAAAAAATATTAAAATTTGGTTTACTTACAATATAATAAAATATACAAAAATTTCAATATATTTATCACAATTGAGTTATTTAATTAAATAAAAACAATGTTATTAATATAATCAAATATTTTAAAAATATCTTTTTTTTTTATAAATTCAAAAAAACAATTAATAACTAATATAAAAAAAAACTCTTTAACAAATGTTAAAATCTTGAAAAAAAATTTTTTTTTAAAAAAAGTTCAAAAATATCGTAATAGAATATATTATTTAATAGTTATTTTTATAATTAGGATTTACATTTACAGTTGATAATATAAAGATTTGGATTTTATAAAAAAAAAAAAAAAACTCTTTTTCACTTCCCTTTCTATACTTGAAAATTTCCTTTTTAGAAAATTTTTGAGTTGTCTATTTTTTTTTATTCATCTTCCCCTTTTCCTCTTCATACTTTCCTTCCCATATCTCTTTATTTCTCTTTTCCTATTTTCTTCTCTCTTTTCTATATACTTTTTTTTATTTTTTATCCTTCTCTTCTTCTTTCCTCTTTTCTTTTTTTAACCAAAGCTAGGTTTTCCCTTTTCCTTAAAGGTTTTTCTCTCTAGATCTCTCTCTCTTTTAAAAACTCTATTTCTATAACATCACTCCTTTGGCCAGTTGACTTCCTTTTTTCAAAAATCATATTAAGAAGTGGTAACCTTTCTTAGAACATGGGTTTTAGAAAATTTTCTTTCACTCATAGTTTCTTAGAAAAAGGACAGATGGTTTACCCTCTCCAAAAAATTGACATGACTATTATTACCAAACTTGACATTATTTATTGATCGGCAATTAGACTAGATATATCTAAGAAATCTCTGTACAACTATTATTATCTGAAAGTATCCAAGGAGTTATGTCCCATAGTATCTAGAGAAAAATGACAGTTAGTAATCTTAGTTGGCAAAAGTTTTTTTAATTGATTGGTTGTTTTCAATATAATTAACTAGTTGCAACTAAAAATTCTAAATTCTGATTGATTAATTTTAAACTTTCCAATTAATAATTTGTAATACTAATGGCAGCCAATGCCAATATATTTAACAATAAGCTAGGTTAGTAGCAGGTGTCATACTGGTGATTGGAAAACTTAGTAGAGTAATATGTGACAATCAGAGATTCTAGTTACTCCTATAACATGAGCTGATGATGACAACAAAAGTTTCTCGCTTATCCCTCCAACAATATAGGTCTATTGTACAAAATTAGATTTTGGTGCCACTAAGAAAACCAATAATAAACTCCACCCATAAGACACTTCCATCACACTTGAAGTATAAGTATGCCAAATCCTTTTTGTAACTTGGAGACAAACTTATATAAAGTGATTGTAA